CATTTCGTTTGTCTCGTTTTACTGCACAGTTTAAAGATGGTTCTAAAGAAAATGCTAAAGATGCTATTTTGCTTTTAGGCAACTTCACCCCTTTACTTGTTCTGGTCCCTTTGTTTGAACTGGTGATTCTACTTCTTTTTCCTAAATTAGAATATTTTATAATTAATCCATTGAAAGGAGTTGGTTTGGCTTATATTCTCCTTATATTATCAATTGTTAGTGTTTTTCTCATTGACTTGATTGAAAGGATTGTTGCTGATAGTAACTCCAATGTGCCTTGTTTCTTCATGTGGAAATCATTCAATCAAACATTTCCTATTTCATATTGGATACTACTCATACCATCAGTATTAGCTGGTACATCATATTTTCTCAGTGGGATATGCTTATTTGAGTTTATGTGTAGTCAGTCTCCTTTTGGTATGCATGGAATGATTTTTGGACTGTTTTTGTTTTTCAATGGTATATGCACTGACTTTGCTATGAGTATATTTTTAATAGTCTATTATCACCCTATACCCTCAGTCAAATTTATGTCATGTACCTCATGGTTCACAATCATGTATTGTATAATTACTGGTATTGGATTAGTGGTGTATGTATTAATAGCTCGATGGTATGTCAATAGGGTCAGGGATACTGATCTTGGTCTACGTGCAGCAGTAGAGGAACACTGGGAGAATAAACTGGCATTAGAGAATGACACTGAAACAGAAGATTTTGTTATTTCTAGTGTTAGATGAATTTTGTTAATTTTGTATTCAAAATTTTGTTATTTTTATCATCCTTTCTTTAAAACTAGTGCGTGCTGCCTTAAGAAATTTCTTCTGTGATTAGTGTAAGATATAATGCTTAATTTTTAGCTTATATAATGAACTTGTACCCATCATTAGCTCTTAATTCCCCTTGGAGTCATCCTACTTCCCTTTAATCACTGAAAGACAATATTCCTTGTCTTTATGTACAGGAGAAGCTATTTCTGAAATTCCAGAGTAAATTAATTGGGATAACTATGTAGTAAAAAGTATAATTCTCAACTCCACTAAATTGACAATAGTATTTTGCTTTGCCTTTAATTTCTAAGTCTTTATAAGACCCCAATATTGTTTCTGTAAGGACTGTTGCAGCGGGTTTTCCGCAAAGGCATGCTCAGTGAGCTTAACAGCATGCTTATTGAGCTGAAAAGCACTACAATACAGGACATGGTATTTGGAGCAACTTTAAAAATCATTAAAATCTAATTTAAATTTGAATTTAGCTTAAAATTTTTATGAAACATAAGTAATGTATGTGTATCAGAAAACATAATAAAAAAGAAAATTTCTCACCAAGTTATTTTAATGAAATTTGCCCAGAGCTCCTGTACTACTGTAAAGGGTGTTTGGTTCAATTTTTAAGCAACTTTAAAATTTATAAAAAATTTAAATTTGATCAAATTCACCTCAAAGTTGATACACGACATAAAGACTTGTAAATCTATCAGAAAACTTGGAGAATTTTCTCCTTGAGACCATTATTGAAATACCTTGTACCACTGAGATCTTTTGCCCAATTTTTGAGCAACTTGACAACCCATTGACAAGAAGATGTGTGAATATAATGCCAAAACCCTGTGAGAAACCTTGGTTGCAGATGTTTTGTATATTGCCGCTTTTATTAAAGGCAAAATAAACTCCACTCAACATATCTTGCAAATGACTCAAAGTAATCAAGTTCCAAGAGCTCTCTAATTTGTTAGTACCAATTAAGAAAGACATTTGCTGTAACATTAGAAAAGAACTTGACATTAGTTAAATTCCCAACAAAAAAACATGAGACCAATCACTACGTAATGTTGTAAAAGCACAGCTGAGGTCTCTTGTAAATTGAAGAAGGCACAGGTCCTGGTCAAACAACATCTTGACCATGCTGTGCGAACCACTTGCTTCACTGAAAATAATTATTGTTTCCTAAAATTAGTAGACTCACTTTGTACCAGTTACTTTTGGAATCCTCCTACCTTATTTGGCTGATTTAGATGTGGTTTTGTGATAGTGGTAATGTTGTTATAATTGACAGTCACATGATCATGATAAGGCCTGCTATTGAATTAAGATGGATTCTTTTTCTTCAGAAAGAAGGAGGTTGTTGCCCTCTTCTTCACTTGTTAACAATGCAAGTAAAAGGAAGTACAAGCCTTTCAACTGCTTCAGTAACTACTGTAAGGAATTAAAGTCTCGTTCATTGAGTTTACCATTAATCCTACTACTTATTTATACTCTACCAATTGAAACTTGTATTACAATTACTGACATGACTAGTAACCAGTTCAGCCAGTGTGACTTATTTCACTCTAAAATTGATATAATTTCAAATAATTTAGAGCTCATGGTAAATGTACTCTTTCTTCTTGCCCCTTTCTGTGGTTGGTTATCAGATACTAAGATTGGTAGGGGTAATGCTATTTATCTTGGTCTATGGCTTGGTTGGATAGGTACTCTAATACAGGCCATAGGATGCTGTTTGCAATATAATTCCTTTCAGTGTGACACTGTTTCTCTCATAGGAAGAGTTGTAATTCCTTTTGTTTTCATGTTAGTCTCGTTGTCACTCTTGTTCCCTAATATATTGCCATATGGTATAGATCAGTTGATGAATGAATCTTCTGTCAAGATAAGAGCATTTATTCACTGGTTCTCACTGTGCCTTTATACTGGTTCTATATTTTCAGTTATATCAGATGAACTTACCATTTCAGTTGTGGCTCTGACTCTCTTTTCTTTTTCTCTTTGTATTCATTTTTTCTTTAAGCATCGTTTTGAGCACATACCTATTCCTAATCCTTATAAAATTGTATTTAAAGTATTGAAGTTTTCTCTCAAAACTAGTCATACTAGAAGACAGCATCGTAGTGCATTCACATACTGGGGAGAGGAGCCCAGTAGAATGGATCTTGCTAAGGAGAGGTATGGTGGTTATTTCTCTCATGAAGAAGTGGAAAATGTAAAGACTTTTCTACGTATTACTGTTGTTTTGGCCACTATTTTTCCCTTACAAGTTTCTACTTTTTTTTTATTTTATTTACCTACTTTTACTAAACAATTTAAAGATGGCTCTAAAGAAAATGCTAATGAGGCTATTTGGCTTAATGGCAATGTGGTTCCTTTGTTTGTTCTAGTCCCTTTGTTTGAACTGGTTATTCTACCTCTCTTTCCTAAATTAGAATATTTTATAATTAATCCATTGAAAGGAGTTGGTTTGGCTTATATTCTCCTCATATTATCAATTGTTAGTGTTTTTCTCATTGACTTAATTGGAAGGATTGTTGCTGATAATGAGTCCAATACACCTTGCTTCTTTGTGTGGGAACCAATCAATCAAACAATTGATATATCCTATTGGATAGTACTCATACCTTCAGTATTAGTTGGTACATTACATTTTCTCACTTGGATATATTTATTTGAGTTCATGTGTAGTCAGTCTCCTTTTGGTATGCATGGAATGATCATTGGACTTTTCTGGTTTTTGAATGGCATATGCAATGACATTGCTATAGTTATTTTATTAATAGTTTATCATTACCCTATACCCTCAGTCTCATTTATGTCATGTACCTCATGGTTCACAACTATGCTTTGTATAATTACTGTCATTGGATTAGTGGTGTATGTATTAATAGCTCGATGGTATGTCAATAGGGTCAGGGAT